TATTATTATTATTTATTATTATTATTTATTATTATTATTTATTATTATTATTTATTATTATTATTTATTATTATTATAAAAAATAAAAAAAAATAACAATAATTAGTGGATGTATGAGAATTGGCGCTACCTTAAAATTTGTGTTTCATTTTTATTACAATGATTACAATGAGTAGAGATGATTAAGATTTACTGTATACTGTTCTTAAGCACAAAATTTAATCTATATTATTGTTTTATAGAATAAAGTTCTATGAATCAAATAATCAGTCATTAATATAAATATTCATTCAAATAAGTTCTAATTTATTATGTTATTATTGTCAATTATTAATATTTATATTGATGATTTTAGTGAAGAAGAAAGTGAAGGTAGAGATTATTATGATGAATTTGTTTGTCAATTATGTGAATCATTAATTTGTGATAATATTTTAAATATGGATTTGAAATTGAATTCATGTTATCAAGTGCAATTATAAGCAAAACTTATTAGCTTCAAAAACAGTTAGAAAATATATCAATTATTTCTAATTATTATATAGATTATGATCTATTGTTTTAGGCTATCATCAGTCAAAAAGAAAGTTTTCATTTAAAAAAATTATGTCATCATAGTGGTTATATGAAGAAATAATTACCTATTGGACAATTTACTTTACTTCAAGAACTTTATATTGAATATTGTTATGGATTGTGCAATTTAGATCGTTTATCTTTGGTTTCATAATCTATTCAATTAAGTGTTTTCATTATATTCATTCGTGTGATCGATCTAATAGATAGCCTCAAGAATTTATTATAAAAATTCTCAAAACTGTCAATACAAATTTAAAAAATAATAGTATGTTTTAAGAAAGATCTTTGAAGGGTATTGTAAAGGAGAAGGAGAAAATAAAAAGATTATTTTAAGAAGTGCAGCAGAAGCGTGAGAATTTACATTAAGTGATGAACATTTTAAAGTTATTGAAGAATATGAAGTGGAGTTAAAATTAAGGTAGAAGAATAATATTTCAAATAATATATATTATTTTTGTTACTTTTCATGAATGATTTGTCATAAAAATACATGTAATATAATTTGAAATAGGATATATTTATTAAAAAAAATAATCAGATTAAATTTATTTTTTGACCGTATTTTTCACGTTACAAAGGATATTTTTCATCATTAATATCATTTTAAAATTTTTCTTTTTCATTATCATTGAAAACTAAATTTAAATCTTCATCATTATCATAATTATAATTGATATTGTTAAATTATACTATAATAATAAAATATGTAAATGCATAATTAAATAATAGACACATGATTGAAATTATTTCACGTGTGATAAATATCAGTAATGAATATTAGGTAACAAATATACCTTTCACATGTAAAAAATTCAAGTCTCTAAGATATCTAGTAGTGGGGATCTGAATATCTGTTTATCTGTGAACGGATATTCTTGAGCTATTTCATGAATACAGATCATCAGGAAATTTTTAAGGGCAGATAACTCCGTAAGTTTTCGGGATGTAAAATTTCCGTAAATTTTTACATAAATTTCCGTAAATTTTCGTAAATCTTCGAAATTTTTTGATGTAAAATTTTGCGAAAATTTTTG